GACTGTGCACGGGGATTCCTGAGTGATATTTCAGGCCACGGCCCTACGAGCTGCAGTTTTTTATGTGACGTACAGACAGTCCCTCGGGCCCTTATGCCCACCAACCGATCCCTTAATCGACGGTTCCGTTGTGCCGCCTGGGCCCCTCTTCGGGCCTCGTCGAACACTGCCCTCGGTCGGCTCGGGACCCCTCGCGAACACAGGATCCTCTGTTAGGTAATGCAGGCCCCTGACATATGCAGGGGCCTCGACCAGTGTAAATCGCTGGCCCGGCCTTGTAGCTGATTGGAAAGTGGACCGCCCAGCCCATACCGATATGGAGCTGAGAGTGCGGTACTGTTAGTGCCTGATTGACGTATAGGCCATTATCAACTCGGGAGGGTGTCTCTGATCGGTGCACAGGGCCCGTCCTCACAGGCCCCTGAAGAAGACCCGACCAGCCCCTCGTGCCCTTAAGCCCTCCAATCGAGCCCTTAATCGTCCGTTCCCGTCGGCCCTCCAGATACTTCGGGCATCCTCGAACACTGCCTCTGACCGACTCGGACTCCCTACCAACACAGAGCCTCCTGTTAGGCGCTGTGGGGTCCCGACGGACGCTGGGGTCCCAACTCATGTAGTCTGCTGGCTCCTGCTTTGTCTCTGCTTGGGAAATGGGCTTTCAGGCACTATTGGTGCCTGAGCCGACTGTGCGTTATTGGTGATGTCTGACCGACATATAGGCCCTCATCTACTCATGAGGTTCCTGGTCAGCGCGCAGGGCCCTCTTGATGGTATTGAAGTGCCCGGCCCTGCGGGTTGGGCCCCTGAATTCGACCTCTGGCCGGCCTTTCGGGCCCTTAATCGCAGGTCCCTAGACCTAAAGTGGGGGAGGGGGGCGGGTGGCACGTGGCCGCTGTGCTCCTCTGCAAGCGCTACTGGTCACTGATACTGCATAATGATAATGTAGATCGTTATTCCGCATCCATCACTACGGGAGACTCGATGCGTACAAATGTAAACACAAACCGAGTTCCTATCGCTTGTCCACGTTTCGCAAATCGCTCGCCTCTGTGTCAGCGGTCACCAGCGAGTTGAATAAGGCATTCAATGGATTCGGATGCCTCGGGTAGCGCCCTCTCTTTCTGGATTCCGTTTCATGGGCAGGGGCAGAAAATGTACACACAAATGCATCCTAGATGTTCAAAACACCAGTGAAGCTTTGTGAGGAGGTCATGAGCGCTTGTGTTATGACTGATTACCATGTCTGACATTTGCACTATCCTGGACAACCTTAGAGATATGAACAAAGCGAGGCGCATTTTGTTTTCTCGTGCACACAGGTTTTGAGCAGTGTGTAAGCCCATAACTATTCAGGACTTCAAATGGAAAAACGGCTTTAAAAAATTAAACAAGGAGGTAAAGCTCGAGTGCTGTGTACATTTAGAAAACATATAATGTCCAGTGAAAAATGCCGACTTGCACGCGGAGTAGACGTCACAACTTTGAAGCAGGGATCCTTTTAAAAAGCTCTCGATAACCTCAGCCTCAGAAGTCAGAAAAAACTACCTTTGGCTTACCGTCATGAGAATTATCCCAGTTTTACCACGCTGTGCGTAACATTTTAGTCTCGGGCACCAATGAGACAGCGGGGCAGCTGAACCTTGCACTGCATCAGGACCTAGCAGCCGGTGTGAGCACCATATCGTTGGATAGTCGGGCTGCGGCGCGTGACGGGAAGTGCCCCGGCTGTGGCCGCAGTCCAGCTGATGTAGGCGACGCTGCATCCCGTGACTCAATGAAACACGCTCCGCTTATTTCCAGAGGCATCCGTGGCCACAGCGCCTGCCGCTCCCTTGGCTGGGCTGGTGGAACGATTCCGTTGTTTGTCGGACGAAAAGTTGTGAAAGGTGTGCCTGGAACAAGACGCCGACGTTGCGTTTGTGCCCTGTGGGCATCTAGTCACGTCCAACAGATGCAGCAAACATCTATGCAAGCGTTGCCTGCGTAGCAAGCCAATAAGAAGTCAGATTCGCGCCTATTTCGGCAAAGACTACAAACGGGGATCGCCGGCTTGTCGGCCTTGTCCGGAGAGTTTGTGGTCCTTGAGCTGATGCGCCGCTGTCGTCGAGCATTGCCGACTATCTGACCCGTGCGTCATGCCCTCGACCTTGGTGGTTAACATGCGTTTAGACTGGCCTGGGACCATTCTGCGATATATTTTCAGTTCCTAGGGCTGCTGTTTCCTCAGGCTCATGTCCGTCATCATGCCTGCGTGTCATACTTGTTCAGCGTCATTTGGGTCAGGCGGTGGTGGTAGTTGGCCACATGGCTGGTGGCTGATGGCTTGATACACAATTAAACGATGCATCTTTGGGGTCATGTTCGTCTAACGCTTGCAAACAAATGTATAGTTTCTGTGTGATGCGACTCGCGAGTACATGCGTGCCTGGCCAGTGTCCTCACTGGAGTCGACTGAGTGGCCTTCACACCGCCTGGAAAGGCCCGAACGGTAGCTTTGTACAGTGTACAGGGCGCCTCCGAGGTATTGGGGTCGGTTACCCCCGAGAGGTAACGTCCGCCTGACGGGCCTGACGGACGCCCCGGACGAGGCAGCGGTGCCGGCGGCGGTAAGACTGACGGACGCCCCGGACGAGGCAGCGGTGCCGGCGCCGCTAAGACTGACTGGACGCCCTGGACGAGGCAGCGGTGCCGGCGGCGGTAAGACTGACGGACGCCCCGGACGAGGCAGCGGTGCCGGGCGCCGGTAAGACGGACGGACGCCCCGGACGAGGCAGCGGTGCCGGCGGCGGTAAGACTGACGGACGCCCCGGACGAGGCAGCGGTGCCAGCGCCAGTAAGACTGCGAGTGATCAGACCCGCGTCAGTACGTTGCAGTCTGCGTTAGTGAACACGGACGAAGACCAGTCCGCAAGCCCGCCGGGCAGCAGCCGCCTCCGCTGTCACGGAAAGAAACCTTTGCTTTCCGGCGAAGTTGGGCCCCAAAATGGCTCAATCCAGCCACCTGGTGGTCTGGCCCAGACGACATGAGAAACGCAGCCAGCAGCTGGCTAGGGAGGTCAGCCTGACCCGGGGCCAACCTGTCGTGGCAATGCGCGATGCGTCAAGCACTCTCCCTCCCTCGCGCTGTCCCATCTTGCGTGGGGGGGAGCTGGACTTTTGCGGCCAGCCTGTATTAATTCCCGAGATACAGTAGTTGGGTCCGCTCCTGACGGTCACGCGGCGTCCAAGCCCCAACCGGGCGTTCTCTTGCAGACACGTGCCACTGTCGAGCACTGACAGACAGATGACACTGTGAAACACTGACAGACAGATGATACTGTGAGTCACTGGCAGACAGATGACACTGTGAAACACTGGCAGGCAGATGATACTGTCAGGCACTGGCGGACGGATGCCACTGTCTTGTACTGACAAGCAGATGGCGCTGTCAAACACTGACAAGCAGATGACATCGTCGGGCACTGACGGAAAGATGAAACTGTCAAGCACTGACAGGCAGACGACACTGTCAAGCGCTGACGGGAAGATGGCACTGTCAAACACTGACAAGCAGATGCCACTGTCAAGCCGCCTTCGTCAAGCACTGTGTCACAGTGTAAATACAAAAATAGGGCTACTGACACCACTAGTTTGAAAGATTAACCAACATGAGTATCTAATCCTCATCTAGTTTTACAATATGACGAAGTCAGTAACAACCAATGTAAAAGGGTGACAAATCTCGTTACGAGCGTGACGTTCGTGATTTAGATACGACGCGCAAGTGCCACTATCGAGCGTGATGTTCATGGTCAGTACCAGCCTGTGCTACTGGCGGCAGGTGAGCTCAGGACATCGGGGTGGCGAGTGCTGCCACCTGTGAACGGACAAAGTGACATATGCCAAGGTATGCCAGCGATCCGCCGGTTCCAGAAAATATGTTTTATGAAGGTGAGTCACGAGACAGTCATGAGGTACTGAAAATTAATCCATCGAAGGTCGAGGGTTTCCGAGGTGGTCGGAATCCACACGCCAAAGCTACTGATTCCGAGATCAAGATCGCAAAAAACCTCACTGGTGTTTATAACTACCACCCACGGCAGACGGCATTGAAGCAGACATTGAAGACCTTGAGCACTAGATCAAGCAGGCTATCAATCTGAGACTGCCAACGCCATGAAGGACCAAAACTCGTCTCGGCCCAACCCCAGCGCAGACACACAATGCGGCAGCAAACACGCACGACCATCAACGGAGACAATCCACTGCAGCCGAACTGGCTTTCACACTGACCCCTGATGACGTCTGCGATGCGGAGGCGCAGCCAGAGTGCGGGGCTAGAGGGCCTGCCCGCTTGGCCAGTGCGACCGGATTTGGAACGGCCGGCAAAAGGTATGAAGTGGCTAAGACATCAATTGAAATGTCAGTAGCTCTTGTTAAACCTTATATCCCTATTTAGCATCGCAGATGCTTCTTACGGAATTCAACGTACAGCGCGAGCGAAGTATGTTTCTGTCTAGTACAGTCAGCTTTCGCCAAATTACCCCGCCCAATATTGCATGCAAATAGTTCTGTTGGGCAGGAGCGACTCGCAACGATTTGGATTATGTACAAGATGCCACATCAACGCAGCTGGAATCGCGAATGGCGCCCTCTAAAAAGCAGACAAGGCACTAGCGACATCTCACGGCTAATCACCGAACGCGCAGAACTCAAAAGGTTGTGCAAGCCCCGCCCCATTTGAACCTTCAGGTTTCATACTGTACATTCTGCCAGCCCAGGTAGAGCGTGAAACCAGGGCGTTCTGTACAAGGCAATGTGGCAGGCCTGTGGTCAGACGCAGCCGATCTGAGTCTATTAGCGGCGACCACGGGATCGCCGCCAGCTGTTAGAACTCACCATTAACCATGATGAAATCGGCACTAGCTCCTGCCCGCAGCCAGCGCGGTCCTGCATCCAGTCGCCAGAACGCAACGCGTTTCATATGCGATCTGCCACGAATGCGACACGAGCACTCAAAGTTCACTATGCTCGTACACATATATTGGACACTGAACGCAAACACTGCAAAACCAGGAATATCACCACTAGGGTATCACATTAAGCAAACTCAGGGTGATGTGCAAAACATACACATCACAACCACAGGCTAGGTCAAACGAACAGCACGCCCCAGAAAGCCCACGGTGCTGCGAAGGGACTGCTAATGACCTGAAACCGTTGCCATCTCGAGGTCACGCAACTGAGACCGTAACGGCACCACCCTGGCCTAGATGGCCAACCCAAACACGGACACGATGCAGTACATGGTCTTGTTCTCCCATCGGACGGTGCAGCTGCCGTCGGTGCTGTTGTCCCAGTAGCAGGAGCTGGCCGTGTGCAGGCCGGCGCCCGTCTTCTGCATGATGACGCTGCTCACTGGGGGCGGGACGGAACACGTCAGTACACGCCACTAGAGGCGGCATGGGGACAGGTCATCACATAGGCCACCAGGCGTGGTGAGGGGACAGGTCATCACACAAGTCACCAGAAGTGACACTGCGACAGGTCATCACGCAGGCCACCAGGCGTGGTAAAGGGACAGGTCATCACACAGGCCACCAGGTGTGGCACGGGAAAAGATCATAAAATATCTCACAGAGTTGGCACAGGACATGTTGTCACGCTACACTGGTCACCCAGGCATTACAGGAAAGGTCACCGGACGGATCACTGGAAGCGTCACTGTAACCGTCAGCACATCACTGAGGTGCGTCCGGAAAAAGAAAACACCGTGTGTAATGGCACAGTGACTTGGGCATCACGTGGATAGAGCGGCCACAACCGTAAGTGGTCGCTCGAGGCGTAACGAGCACTGCAACCTGGTGTAAACAAGATCGTTGGACCAGATTACTGAACAGGATTGCCAGACAGCGTCCACAATACAGTCATTGGGTGTCCGTCACTGCGGCATCCCTTACCATGTCAGGACAAGTCAAATCAAGACAACCGATTAATGAGTAACATGCACTCCGAGATTTATCACCTCTGATCCCAGCCATGTCGCACAGTCCAGAAGTAAAACGTAGCACCACACGAAAATAAAAACACTGATGAAACAAACAGTGAAAGGTCCCACAAAAATAAAAACACCGCACGGTAGAGAACTAGCAGCACAACCCAGTCACCCCATGAATGTGCACATTGGACGAGAGCTAGTAATATCCGGGGCAGCAATCAGTTCCAGCACGAAGCTGCGCGGAAAGAACGCACGCGGCGCGACGGTGCCAGGCGAGCAACTGGCAGCTCCAGCGTGCCCTCCACCGTCACCCGGGGTGTGTGCGGTGAAGCAGCCCCACGCGATCTCTCAGCGCCCTGAACACGTCCACGCTGTCGCGGCGGTGATACGGTCACGCTCTCTACGCTAGGCAGCCATCTCCACCGTTGGTGAGATACGATCACGCATCAGCGCGGGCCCCCGTCAGGTGGGTCCCTTGACGGAGGGTCCGCTTAAATGTGGGCCAGTACGATCGCCCGCTAAACCGCTGCCGCAGGCGCTGTTCGGCACGATGGTAATCTCACAATAAGCTGTGCAGTCCCTGCTTGACATCACCAATTGGAGTTGATCAATGAACACGCACCGAATCCGGGCCTGCGTCGTGGGTCTACCGTGCCTGGTCCACATATCATCAACAGTATCTCCAACGTGGTGACATCTTTGCGAAAGCAAAAAAGCTGCGTGACGTTCAGAGGACTACGCCCAGTTTGATAAGGCACAACTTTGGACCTCCCCCCCCCCCCCCTCCCTGGCAAAGCACGCCCATCCATGTTTGCTTACCTATATACTTGAACGGTTTCTGCAGCTTTGTAAGGGAGCTGAGGCACGACTCCACCACGCTGGAAGCCCACTGGTTCACTTTCGCCTGCTGATAGGTGTTGCCGCCGATAGTACTCTCCACAGCCTCCTTAATCACGTTGCTAACCTCGTCCACGACAAACTGGGTCTGCCCGGCAATGACCATCGGTCAATCTCCCGTCAGTGTGCGCCTTAACGGGCGTCAGATCAACGCCACTTATAAAGCAAGAGTGAAATTCACACCGAAGGCTGATGATAAATACATTGCCGACGAACTTCTTCCAATGACATTTTCCTCAAGACAACCGGATCTACTGTACAGGCGTGGGAACGGAGCCAGGCTTCTGGCTTCGAAGCCAAATTCAAAGCCAAGACAAAGACATGGAGCCAAAGTCGAAGTCAGCTGCTTTAAGTTTTGAACTGCAACCAGAAGTTAAAGTTAGCGGCCTCGAGGAAACGCAAAGACAACGACGAGCCCATCAGTTCAAAGTCACGGAGCTGAAGCCCAAACCGAAACTGGTACTCGGCATTGCTCTGGAGAACCCAAACCACTTTTGCGTCTCTTTCACAAACGTCAGCCATAACTGAATGGGGTCAGAATATATCATCAAAGTTTTGCGAAGTGACTGAAACGAGAAGACAGTATTACGGGCGGAATATTTGGTACGGTATGTCATCGACTTGTGTGTTAGTAAGTTGACAACATTCAAGACACTGAATTCTCCGGCAGTCGACAAATCTTGATTGGTGCTCGAACGACTAACTCACTTCTGGCTTTCAGTCCCGCATGTGTCGCAGTCTGCAGAAGTGGCATGGTACGTTGGGGTGACAGAACAGACAATACTTTTTGTGAAGTAAAGTTGCATTCAAAGCCAACAGGCCAAGACCGAGTCTTATTTCCGTAAAAGCATGCAGCCACGTTCAAATTAGACATAAAGCCACCTGGCTAACAAAGAGCCACAAGGATCAATTGAGGTTGACCTCCCTCAGGCTCTGCCCACATCCTCGAAACGAGTCCTACCACCTGACCTGCCTGAATTTTAGCTATAAATGAGATATTTAGAATGATCGAACTTGTCCAACCGATGTTTAAATGTTGCCAGGAAAGGAGTTCCTGCAACTTTGTTTGATATTTGTTTGACAGTCCATTGGAACAATTCACTTCACTTTGACTAAATGACATCTGCCACTTCATAGTTCTACATCTACCTTTTGATCAATAAAACCAGTTCCTTCTTAGTCTCAGCCTAATTTCCAGTGCTCCATGTAAATCTACCCAGCCTATTTTTTCATAATCTTCAATACCTCTATCAGGTCTCCTCTAAGTACAACTTTTTGGCGGCATTCCCGTTCTTGTAACAGGCATTTCTGTTCAAAAGTCCCAGTATTTGAGCTCCTTGCAGCATCATATTGGTTTTCAGCCTTCAAATCCCTGAAAATGACCACTCGTAAGTTCATTCTTTCCCTGGTCTGGGCTTACTTCTGACTAAAATCGCCTTCAGTCAGACTCAGCCTTTTACCAGGGAGATCACACAGCCTTCTTTGTAAAAACTAAAGCCTAGTGTTATGAGCATCTCTAATATCCCTGGCTTTCACTAATGATTTTCCATCTTCTTCGAGTGGGCCCACACGGGATCCCCTAGATTCTAAGTTGTAATGGTTAAAAAATTATGCCACCAGAGCGAGTGTGTGCTACCCGTATTTGCGATACTCTTTTGGCTACCCTGATTTACTTCCTTAGTTTTCTGAACCAATCCTATGCACTGCCTTGTGGCTCTCTGTGTCCTACACTTTTTGCCCATCATATGCCACCTTTTTTCACTGCCAGCAAATTGCGCACTGTCTGCGTCTTGATGGTCCTTGTGGCTCTCTATTGGCCCAATGTCTGCTGATATGCGTCAGCCATGGGGATTCCTAAAACTATTTTCTTGCATTTTACTAAGGGGAATGTGTTTTTCCTGTCCCTTTTCTCAAATACGCTGCACAACTTCCGACATCTGGTGTGTGGTGGGTCAAGCTAGATTATTTTCCCCCTGCAAGCTAGCACAAAACACTCTCAGTTCTTCAAATTAACCTCAGCAACCTCTTACAACTGCTTATACTGTGTAGCACAAACACGTGATTCATGATTCAAACTTGCACAGCTTGCTCAACACTGATTGAAAGCCAATTGAAGTCTACTATATTTGGAAATTGTGCTGATAGATGTCAGATCTGAGTGATGTGACAATGATATTGTTCTTGGTCATAAATGGCACATGATCCACGAAGCAATGCCATTTTAATGATGTCGCTCTGGCGTCACACATACCTGACTGGCCTTCAAGTAGTCCACATGTCTTTGCAGGCATGTAGCTCAGAAACAAGAGGGCTTTAGGTCTTAAGAAGGCACGGATGTGAGCTGCACTACATGATCTTTAAAATGGCCATTTCAATTCAAAGCCCTACAGAAATGTGGAACACTGTCTTTAACTAGGTCCTACACTCTTCCAGCTGAGTCTAGGGTATGAAATATTTGGCATCTCCTTCCTGAATGAAGGATCAAGCTAAGCCTTTCTTGGATCCTCAATCACACTTAGGACTACATTGGTGGCTGGCATATCCTCAGCATGGTCTGTCCTCCCCTCTTATGTCAGCTGATTTTTACAAAGGCTGATGTCACCAGCCCCAGGTCATACCTGTCAAGGTCACAAATCAAGCACCCAAAATGACACACACGTCCTGTCCTAGGTGGGTGGATTGTAAGGCAGGTGCTGTAATCAAATGAGGTATCAGGATGGACAATGTGTTGACAGACTGTCGATTTAGTGCTTGTTTGTCTATTTGAGGCCCAGAACTAGAAAATGAGCCTGTATTTTGTGCTTTTGTATCAGAAAAAGGCAAGAGAAGGAACCACAGGATGTTAATGACATAACACAACACATGGGCATTATAGCAGTCATTTCATGTACAATCAAAGTATTACATACATGACATGGCATCTAACAAAAAGAATCCTACCATTTCTCTTAGCCTGAAACGGTGAGGACTTGCCATGAATATGTGGTGTGGTTAACTATACTGTCCCACCCCATTACAGTCCATGGGCATGCAGATGAAACAGTTGTAAAACTAATCACATTTTAAAGCATCCCAGCCACATAACCATATCAACAGTTTATACAAACATTTCACAGCAAAAGTATCAATGAAATTATTAAATAAATTTACAGATGTGTCATCAAACTATGTCAGTATTACAGTAAACAAATAAGCATCTTTGTAAGGCAAGATATTTGGGGCAGACATATTATTTTGAATGTGTGGATGTGTAACAGCCAACCATGCATCTTAGAAAAAAAACATATATTTGCAACATACATTTCATTAAAACACAAAAGTGGATACACAAACACAATTGTTAGGTGTGATGAATCACACACCAGCAAGCAATCACCTGATGAACAAATATTTGTGATTAACAAATATTTGAAGTGTCTTTGTTCTGTTGGGAATGTGTGTATGACAATGTGGCATAAGTAATAACTGATCCCTATATTCAGAAAGATGACTTACCTCTTCTGATGAATCCTCCATAATCCAGATGTTACCTCTATGTGGTACTGCAGGAGTACAAGAAGTACTTACAGGCTTTGAAAGACAAACAGCTGCTTTGGTCTACTGCAAGAAAAAAAGAGCAGCCAGTCATTGAATGCAAATGTGTGTGACTGATATCATCTTAAAACATCAAACTGACATGTCACACACATTTCAAAACATGTAGACAAAATCATGGACAGGCTAACACATAACACAAGTACTTCAGGCATGCTGTCATTTTACGAAGATAAACCTTAGGTGCAACGTAGCAACACATGTCAATGGGGAAATGCTCAGTTACCATGTAGGATGATATTTGGATTTTCATGCATATCAATTATAGCAGCCATTTTGTACCACATACATCACAGAAACATGCAGCCTTCATGCACTGCTTTTCCAGACACTTTTCCCGGCCAGTCTTTGAAAACTTTGTACAAAAATACATGCATGCATGGGCACGTACCATGCCCACAAAATGGTGTACCAGCATAAGCCTGTCTTTACTGGAACAGATACGTTACCACCTATAGCAATAGATAATGGAGGTCTGTTGTCTGGCCTCACTCTTCAGACACGAGCCAACTGCAACTGAAGTTGGTCTTTCCGCTGCATCGGTTTACGCCCGACTTACATGACTGCTGATAACTGGGCGAGTGTGTCGCTAGCGATATGCACAAAACACGCATCTTTTTGAACCTCCATGCATACGCACTGCAAGGTAGTGGGGGCCTGGCTTCTGAAGGTGTGCATTAGCTTGGTTGTAAGTCATATCATGTCATTGGGGCTTTACGACGCACCCACCTGCTCAGGCTATATAGCATCGCCCACCTCTCACCCTGACAGGAAGGGCGGGCACCGCGGGGAATCGAACCCCGTACGCCTGGTTTCCCAGACGCGCAGTGGTTAGCGCAGGTGCATTAACCACTACACTACCGGCACCCCTCGTTTGTATGGGCTTTTTTTGATGGGACAGCGCAAGGCCTCTTTTCTCTCTCGACGGACCTAGTCACCTCCGAGGGGAGAAATTTATCTCCGGCAAAAAGCCAGGCAACGATTACGTTACGCCGGCTTATGCTGTCCGGCTCAAACCAAGGGAGAGGGCATTTGCAAGTGACGTTAGTGACGCTACGTTAACCCGACTCATTTTTGTCCAGCAAGATTATAGCAAGTACATCAGGCCGCAGCAGCAGACATATTTATTTCATGACGACATAGCACGCATTCAATACGTTCGAACGTGAAAGTGAGGCTCCTCACCCATCCTCCCTCCCTACTCCTGGGGTGCCACGTCCTGTGTCCTGTGTGGGGTGTCCGTGTCATCGATGGCGTTGGCTCAGCTGACTTGCCGGCGACCCGTGGGGTGGATGGATGCCGGCCCGCTTCATCGCTGCAACGGGGAGATCAGCCCCCGGGCTCCGCCGCCCGGCACGACCTTGCGGTGTCGTGTGATGTTATTGCGTCCTGGAAAGTCCTAACTAAGAAAAAACGAGGACTCCTAACCAATAGCGAAAAATCTGCAATCTTTGCCAAATTATGCAAGAAAGAAACCCTTTATCCAAATGGAGACATTTAATCCTGTACTGTGTAAAAACTCAGAGGAGAACGATCAAATCGGGATAAAAATCACCGAGGAGAGAGTGGAGATTGAATGGAAACCGAAAAGCGTTGGTGTAATTGATGAGCGGCTGCCTTGATCGTTGGCATACCGGACACACGAGGAGGAAGTGATTTATTGTGAAAGGGATGCCGCAGTGATGACACAGCGGAGGAGGAGTGCGTTCGAAAAGGTGGCAGTGAGTGATTTTGGTGTGACCGATACGCAGTCTGGCAACCAGCACTTCCTTCAGGCGATTATCTTGATTAATTGTCGGCCAGTATTGAAGTATGGGTTTGATTGGGTGAAGGTGAAGGTGGTGAGCGCGTTGATCCCATTCAGATTGGAAAAAGAGTCGGGAGTGTAAATTGATAGCTGCTAGAATATCAGAAACGGGACAATGAAGATGATTACGTTCCGGAAGCATGAGACTTCGTTTTGCTTCTTCGTCAGCAGTGCTGTTTCCACGAATATTTGCGCGTACAGGTATCCAGAGAAATATTACGTGAGTTTGTTGAGGAAGGGAGCGGAGCGTTCGTCGTATGCCGTTTAAAGTTCGGTGGGATGAATTATGGAGAGTGATGATAGCTTGTAACGACGAATGAGAGCCGGCGCATATGACTGCCCTTTGTAGATTACCTTGCTTAATGTAGAGCAGAGTTGCCAGGATTGCTGTTAGTACAGCTGTACACGCAGTATTGTAATTTGACAGGCGGTTTGATTTGTGGTAATTATCATGTACGAAGGCAGCTCCTGTGCGACCATCGCGTCGGGTGCCGTCAGTATAAATAAAAGTGTGCTGGCCATATTCTCGTTTGAACTCAGCGAAGAGTGCATGCACTTCGGTTCCTGATACGTTTCGTTTTTTTGTGTTTAAACAGAAAGATTACGTTAGGTGTAGGGTCGCCTTAAAAGGGTCGGGGACTGGGGGATGGGTTGCAGGGAATGTCGGGGAGATTAAACACTCGCTGCGCTCGAATGACACGAGTGCTGATGGTTGGATGCTGGAGTTCCGCGGTGGTAAGTGTGCGGTTGGGGCGGAGGTGTGCGAGGGCGTTGTATGTGGGGTTACCAACGTGCGCTGTGGCGCGTGCGCCAAATCTGAAAAGTTGTAATTTTCGTCGGTGTGATAGGGAGGGGATATTCGTGCCCGCGAGCAGATTTGGGACTGGGGAGGTGCGAAGTGCACCAGTCACTATGCGAAGGGCTGCGTTTTGGATGGTCTCCAGGGTTTCGACTTTTTTGGAAGAAATATCATAAAAAAGAAAGCCATTGTAGTCCAGGATCGGGCGTATCAGGGAGGTGTAGAGGCGGAGGAGAGTGCGTATGTCGGCGCCCCACTCCCGCCCTGCTGTGCATTTCATTATGTTCAATCGTCTGGCGCATCGTTGCTTAAGGTCAGCAAAACGAGCATTGAAAGTAAGACGACGATCGTATGTCATCCCAAGGTATTTAAAACTGTAAACTAGAGGGATTATTTCACCATTAAGATTCAGGGTAGTGGGAGGTTGAACGTTATTTCGCCTAGAGAAGATAATTACAGCTGACTTCGTCGGGGAAATCCGCAGTCCCCACCGTGCACACCAGGCGTGAATATTTACAGCTAACTGTATATAATGCAGTGCGTGATCGACATTAGCATGCGTATGCCACACAGCCAGGTCGTCCGCGTATAAAGAATGCTGAAAATATGGAGAATATTATTACTATTGTTGAAAACATCATTTATCATCATAAGGAAGAGGGTTGGAGATAAGACACTGCCCTGAGGAAAACCGTGATCCTGCGTCGTCGGAGTAGAATACGTATTTCCGCAACGCACAGAAAACGTCCTATCAGGTAGGAAGTTTTTAATGAAAGCGGCGAGCCGGCCACGTACTCCGATTTCATGTAATTTAATGAGAAGGGCACTTTTATTCACCCTGTCAAAAGCGGCCTTTAAATCCACGAATAGTGCTACCGTAGTAGATTTAGTCTGAAATCTGAGCTGAACTGAATCTATAATGTGGACCATGCTGCCCGCCGTGGAGCGGCCGGAACGAAAGCCGTTCTGAAAAGGTGAAAGAAGGTGATTTGACTCAAGAACACCCTGATACGTCCGTTGACCATCCGTTCCAATATTTTAGAAGCACAGCTGGTAAGAGAGATGGGGAGATAGCTGGAAAGGTCAGAGGGAGGCTTAGAAGGCTTAAGTATAGGGGTAGGTGTGTTAGAGCGCCATGAGGGAGGGAAGGAACTGTTAACCCACATATCGTTGAAAGCCGACAGAAGTCAGTGTCCAGTTGGTGTTGTTGGTGTTGTTGGTGAGTCCAGTAGGTGAGTCCAGACCTAGTAAGATTTCGAAAAAAGTGGTATGCTAACTGGTCTGGACCGACAGAAGTGTTTCCGCACTTACTGATCGCAAGATCCAATTCATAGGGTGTGAAGAGTACGTTGAATGTCTCAGTGTTAGCAGACGTGAAGTTGAGTGCGAGCAGTGTGCCATAAAGTGTGCTAGTGATCTGTTGGGAATACTGCTCGGATGATGATACACGGGCGAAGTGTGTGACAAATTTTGTGGCGACTTCGAATGGAATGCTGTAGTGTTGGTTGCTGACTACAAGGTGCGGGGTCTTATAACGTGGCGTGCGTTTGTTTGTGTAACACCGAATCAGTGACCATATTTTAGATAGAGGGGTAAAGCGGTTGAACGTACGTGAAAATTGCTCCCAGCTTTCCTGTTTTGCGCGTTTAATGATTATATCGGCTTGATGTTTAGCTCTGCGAAACTCCTCTTCATGAGCTCTTCAAATGCAATTACGAAAGGCACGCATAGCCCGGCGTCGCAGGGCTAATGCGCGCTGACACTCATCGTTTCACCAGGGCGCACGTTTGTGCCCTGGACGACGATGAGTGTGTGGAACGAACTGGTGCGCTGAGGCCAAAATAGTGTTTATAAATGTAGGTAGGTTGGGAGTTGTGCCTGAAGGGTGTGCCTCATCGATATAATTTTGGAAACATGCCCAGTCTGCTCTGCGAACATTCCATCGGGAAAAAATTGGAGTCCATTTGCCCTGATGGGACCTCCAAATTTATGTGGATCGGGTAGTGGTCACTGAAAAGCATGTCTGATTGAACATTGTGCGTAAAGAGTGGTGCTATGCGTGGTGTTGTTAAGGCTGGATCTATAACAGAGTATGTCACTGTGCCTCCGTGGTGATGTGCACGCGTAGGTGTCAGTTTGTTGATACATATGAGGTCATGAGTGTCCATGAGTGTGTGTAAAACTCTCCCCCTTGCTTGTGTCGTGCTACAACCCCATGCGCGATGATGGGTGTTCAGATCCCCAAGGAGACAGGCGAGGGAATTTGTGCGAGTAAGGCCGAGAGATCAGCTGAGGAGACAGGGCTAGTTATTGCAACTGAATTGAAATGAGTATTAAAATGAGCTTGACGATGCAAAAAGTTATTTGAGACGAACGAGGCCAAACCGCCTCGGCGCGGGTTTTGGTTTACGTTATGTGTGTAGAGGCAATAACCGTTGATCTTAAACCTATAATTAAAAGAATCCTAGAGTCATTAGATAACGTCTCTTGAACGGCGACTATCCATGGTTTGTTTTTTATCATATGTTCCTTGAATTCTCCCCAATGGGATACCATAGATCTCGTATTCCACTGGAGCAAGAATTCACCGAACTGGGGATTCATTTAGGACGGGGAGGGGGACCATCCAGCGGGGCGGCAGTGAGAGAGCGATCGAAGGGCGCGACGACGGGAGCGCGTAACGGGTCGGGCTCGGCGTTCGACTGAGGGACTGGCCCGAGGGGGGGGGGGGGTTGGCGTCGGGAGCGCGGTGGCTGAGACATCGGATAGGGCTTCTTGGGACGCCGGCACGAGTGGAATAGACCAACAGCGACGTGATGGGGTGGGAGAGAGGCTCCCCGAGTTTGGCGGGGCGGGTTCCTGCTCAGGGAGGTTCGCAGCCGCCGGGCTCGCTGTAACAGGGTCGGCTGGCGCGGGCTCGATCGTACGCAGCACTGGACGTGACTGACCTGCTGAGGATGGTCGGCGTGCTGAGGAGGAGCGTTGTGCTGAGGCACAACGCTGGTTCGATACCTCAGGCTCCTCAACAGGACGCGGAGGAGGGAGGGGGCGCCGCCGCGGAGCTGGTGTTAGAGGGGGAGGATGGGGCTACGCCTCCCGCGGCGTGGGCCACTCCTGAGGCTGGAGCACTCAGACCGGTGCATAGGCCGCTGCCGCTGCCTGCTGCTGGCGCTCGCGCAGCGCCTCGCGCTGCATATGCCAAGCGGGATAGGCGCGGCGGTCCCCAGCTGCGTGCGGGCCTTTGCATGTGGCGCAGTGCGGGTTTTCTGCGTCACACTCCCGCGTGTGATGAGGGTCGGCGCAGCGGCCGCAGGTCGG